TTCATTACATGCAAAATCAAGCCTCTCCATTCCCTTATATCTAGAATTTCATAATTTTCAACCCTACAAAATTAGTAGATTTTTTGCTTGCCTGGTTTGAATAAAACCAATTTCATCCAAAACCACAAAATTAATAAACCTTCAGCTTTCATTTCATTGTATTCCAGTCAAAAAGTCAGATCTTTCAATAAACTATTATCATTCTTTCCATGCAAATATTAAATTAAATATTTACCATTCTTGTACATTGAATAAATAATGTGCCTAATCAAGCCCTGTCAAAATCATCCACTACACATTGTTTTGTTCCCATCTATTCCTGGACACTCCCTTTCTAGAGTCTGAGCAGTATTTTCAGGGTCTGCTTCCAATACCTGTAAAATTAAATTCAACAATTATCCAAAACAATTTCATCTGACACTTATTGACATTTTATTGACTTTCATTATGACACTTTATTATGATTTTACTTACTTTTGAAACAATGTGAGTTTTCAGCTTCAATTCATAGCAGTTTTGTCCAATTGCTTCTCACAAACGTACATGAATTAAATGAAACAAATGAAGCGATGGCTTCCAATATATAGGTGTGCACGAGTTAGCCCACTAAAGCAAATTCGAGGAAAATAGTGCAAGCTGATTGTGATTGATTGCAAAAAACTGATTCCACAAGAAGTGCACTGATTTAATGAAGAAAATTCAAAAAGATGTCGCAGAATATAAAAGACAGTCGTACAAATTTGCAATGCTCTACATGTAAGCCAATATTTAGCTTAGTTTTGAATCTGATGATGACAATGAAGAAGAGTTGACCTATCATTGCAGGCCTATCGACAAATTACTTGGAATAAAATGGAAACAAATGTTCGAAAAATACCTGACTCCCTTCAGAGAGGAAAAATTGGATAAGAATTGAGAGCAATGTTACAAATATTAAGTCCAGAACTGAACAAATATTAGTGAACAAAAACAAAAATCTTGCTGCAAAAATTACAAGCAATTAGAGAAAGGGTTCAAATAGCTGAAAATAAATAACGTCAAGTAGTGTGAATCACCTAATAACGCCGATGACGTAATAGCTGAAGTATACGAGTTGATACCAAGCTAGTCTTTGAAATAAACAAAAGCACCAAACGTACAATTTTAATAGGCAAATTACAAGAACTGAACACCTCTTTTTTTGCGCAGTAAACTGGGGCTTGCATCTCTACGAGTTACAATCAGTAGACGATAAGGTTAATTTAATTCGATGATAGAATTAATGAAGGATTGCTCGATTTTGTGCCAAATATACTGATAATTTCTAAAAATTATCCTTGTTGGTTTTCTAAAGATTTGATCTACAATATAAAACAAAAAAAAGAAGCACATATGAATTATAAGATCAGAAAAACAAATGTCACATATAATCAGTTCGAAAATAAGATCAGATTGTAAAAAAATTAATAAAAAATTTTACAATGATTATGTATCGAAAAACTGAGGAGAAGATGAAAACGGATGCCCATTATTTTTGGAAATACATAAAAACAAAGATGCCGAAGTGATCTTAATATTCCATCAACTATTCCTGAACTCAGAGACGGGCCAAGAATGGAAACGAATGACTAATTTATTCTCATCGTATTTTGAAAGCATTTACCAAGACAATTCGAATGATCACAACTATAAATGAAAGAATTCTTTGTCAACCTCACGGAGCTGAGAGCAGCTTTGATGATGTTTTTGATCAATTATATAAGTTGGAGCATTAAAAAAAGTGCTGGACCCGACGAATACCCAATTTCAGCTCTGAGAGAAATTGTGCTGCGGACTTTCCGAACCGTTATCCCATAATCTTCAGCAATCAGTAGAAATCTAGCGCATCTTCCCTTAGAAAGCGCGTTGGAAAAATTGCTGCCGTCACATATAAGCTCCTGATTACATAATGCCATCAGAGTGACCAAAGATAACAGATGAAAGACTTAATTAAATTAGAAGCCTAATATGCATTCAGATCGGTTCGGCTAATTACCCAAAAACCCTATATCCAAGGAAAAAATATCTTATTCTTAGGGCCGTCAGAAGAACCGATTTATCCACCTTTCAAAAAAACCCATTTATCTCGTCACAAAACATAACACATGACCGTCTTTAAGTTGACGACATCCGAGAAACATCCATAACACAATCCAAAAAAAATACTCCATTTACTATGTAATTTCAACCCTAGTCAGTCGCCGCAATCGAACCGCTACTGCCTTCTCACAAGACAAAATCGATAACACTTACTCCTTCTACGAGACAATTTCGGGCTCTGATTATTAATTACTAGATTATTATGTCAGTGCATATAATGCCTTATTACGATTTATGGTTGTGAGTTATAAAATCTACTAATAATATATATTGTTTAGTATTAAACTTTATATTAATGTGTATGATTTGGTGGTAAGTTATAGATTAGAGCATATAGCAACTTAGCGAATCTAGTTTACATTCCAAATAAATCCTAGACAAAAAAAGACGATACCTCTCCTTCTCTCTACGCCTGCCAGGGTATTAGTGTGCCGAAGCATGATTCACTACTACAAAGATTGTAAAGAATAAATGAGAGCAACTACTAGTAACAGGACTTAAACCAACAACAACAGTCCACACAAGAGAAATCACATCATAACAGATAGAGAAATACCAGATCTTTAGTAGAGTAATCAATAAACTTAATGACAGAATACAAAACATTACAATAAATTAAGAATAAACAGAAAAAAACTTGACCAAAGGCTGATTCACCATTGGAATTAACTTTATGAGCACGCAGTGATCTTTTGACACGTCTGCGAGTAGCAACATATCATCAGGATAAAATTACCAACAATTACCCGTTGCCTGAAATATTCAATGGCATTTTAAAAGGAGGTAAAATACCTGAAATATGGAAATTAGCCTATATAAACTCAATTTACAAAAAAGGTTGTAAAAAACCGCTAAATAGATAGATAGACCAGTGTTTGTCCTCAGGAAAGGACACCTCGGTGACTGCTCGTCTCAATCACCGTCAGAATAGTAAGGCCCTTGGAATTTGTCACATGGTCTCCCTAGCTGTTCACACATTGCAGTGCTGTAGCTCAGGGTTCTACTTCATTCTCTGACCTGCCGTACTTAACGCATACCAAGCTTTCTGCAATGCACCCTTGTTGCGTATGACTGTATCCTGCATTCAAAGGCTGTGTGGCATGTACTATTATATCTGAAAACTGTAGAATCTGCAAATGATCTTTTCTGGGAAGGATGGAAGATTGAATGTCAAGATCAGAGGAGTGAAAATTTTTCTCTCAAGGTCCTTCTTCATTCTGAACACCTCAAAGACAAGGTCTCCAGGTCCAGGTTGAAAGTCATCTAGATTGACCACTCCCACGAAACTGTCAATCTGCTTTGTTTTAAGGATCATTTCAATCTATTCGTCTATGTGCACCTCAAAGAGAATGGTATCATTCCTCTGTTGCACGGCTGCTTAGAGCTTCCCCAACCTATCCTCTATAGCTAGTGGTAAACACACTCGTGAACATTTTCCTTTCCTCAGCACATGCAATAAGGAGGAAACATGGTTTCTTATGCGAGTCCTCTTCTTGAAAGAAAAAGCTAATCAAGTCCACAATTCTTTAAAACCTTTCCTCTTTCTTCCGGGAAAGAGCAAGATTTTATGTCCTATACTATAGAATTTGTATTATCTCCATTCTCCCCACCCATCATAGAGTCCAATAAAGTACACACCACCAGAGAGACAGGGTTGACATGGTGATATAGTGTGGGGATGATACTGCACTGCCCAGCTGTGGCTAATCCCCCCCCACCCGCTCACACAGAAGTTCAGTCACAGACCTAGTCCCAAGCTATTTATCAGGAAAGCTTTTTAGTGTCAGTCCACCAGTCTAGAAGAGGCAGTGACCAAAGGTAGTGTATTGAAGTATGCAGAACATGCCTATACAAGCAGTCACCAATACTCGCTGGGGTTCACACAACAAATAGAAACAGTCTACCCAAAGTTTCCAATATCAAGGTAGTATACGAGCCAGCAAGCACAGACCCCTTACCGTCAAGCAACCTATTTCCTTCAACATGAGTCACCATACACAGCTAACACACTAACAGGTGTTCAGCACACAGCGGACAGTGAGGAAGAAAGGTGGAGATAAAAAGAATATTTATGATTTGAAACAAAAAGCAAAAGAGTGAAAGATGAAGAAAGGAGCACATGAGAGCCTTCTCTGCATCCAAATGTTTGGCCTTGGGTCGACCCACCTCGACGGTAATTTGACATCATGATAACAAAATAATTTTCATTCCTCAACAAAGAACTAAAGGAGTACTTAAATCCATACACATGTCGTAAGATTATCTATCTCTTCATAATAGATACATCACTAGCAGGAAGTTTTGGGAAGTACCATGAAGTTCTTTGGTTTTTCTACAATTTTTGTAATTATAAAAAATAAGAAACATTAGCAAAAATTGTAAAAACACCATAGAATTTTTTCTGCTTCTTTTCCTTGATTTTTTTTCTCCTGAGGATTTTTTGAATGGAACTTGCCCCTGACCTTAGAGATGAAGATAATACTTTCTATGCAAAATCTCCATATGTTGTATTATCAGGAAGTGAACATTGAAGAAATAGAACAATAAGGATGATTAACAATTTCTTTAAAGAGAACTACTTCCTTCAGTGTTTCAGTTTATTTCAGTGCTACGAGTAGAACAGTTAACTTTGACATACCAGCTTTACTACATAATTTTACGACTTAAGTGATGTTTGAAAATAAATTCATTTTGGATTACATAAAAACATAAAAGAGATATTTCCTTAATTTTAACATGATATTATTCACAGAATAACCTAATATACACACAAGAAAGAATTCAAATTTAAGAACACTATTCAGTGTACTTCAATAGTAGGTACACTAAAGGTTTCTCAGTGGCACACAGTGGCACTGAATAAAAAGTATTATTCTACTTACATTCTGTTGTCTTCCCACATTTTTATTCTCCAATCTGCACTACATGAAATGAATATATTTGGATTAAATTTATTATAGTCAATACGATGTATCGGCATGTGGTGAGCTTGGTATGTCATTAGGTACATAGACGTATATGCAGTACTGCATTTGTGAATATAGCCTTCCTCAGTGCCCACCAGAAATGTTAATGGTTCATTTGGATGAAATGTAATTGCAGTTCCACAACCTGAAAAACAATTTACATTCTTCACAATATGGTTCAGGGAAGTATTTATGGCCACATTATGAGTATAAACTGTTTTGAGATATAATTTTGCAGTGTATGACAATCTCTCAGGGGATAAATGTCCTGTTTCTTTCTTTTTTGGTGGAATTATTCTTCAGTAGTTGCTTAATATGTCAAATCAAAAATGGAACTCATTTGCTAATTTAATGAACGTACTGTATCCATTTTGTACGTGCTTTATCCATTTTGTTTTTTCACATCTCCCATTGGATGGGTCATTGACAATCCTAATATCAAGTACACTCCGAGACATTTGATACTTGAAAACGAGAGTAAAATAACGGAGTATTATTCTTTGTTGTTATCTTTCAAATTAAGTTATCTTTTTCAGTAGAAAGAAATTCCCCAAAGAATGGTTTTATGTTTTTGTGAACAGAAAATACAACACAAAGTTCCAAGCGGTGTCATCACCATCAAAACTGGGAACATTAATAAGTAAACAAAGGATAAAATAAACACGAATTTGCAATTTGGACAGCAGGAAGAAATTAGGAGGGCGTTTCTATGACGCCACCCACTTTCTTTGAAATGCATGATCAGGAATCTGTTTTATATGTTGTTATATATCTTTCACATGCCCCTCAGATCGCCCATGCACAGTGTGCTAGCTTCCTATGGAGCAATTCCAAGTTCTATTCCCGGTTGGAGCAAATACAATTGTCTCTGGGTGGCAGAAGAAAAGCTCAGACAGTCCAAGTATGCTAAACACTATCATGGGAATACGTCATGCTCACAATAAGTCTCTCTTATTCCCAGGCGTAGATAATAAAAAATGTGTGTTACCACAGAATGGCACAGATTTTCTCATATTAATTTGTTTTCTAATTTCTTTGATCTAGACTAACTTTTCAGTTTCACCCCACCTCTTCCCAGCTGCCACTATTGCCACCTCGGGTACATTTTTTAAGTTTTTTTCTCAATTTTACAAACAAATAATCCATACAAACCTTTTACACATATGGTGATACCATCTGGACCTGATATAGGAGAAACATCAAGCGACAATGGAATGATTGTTGACTTAGTCAAGTCCTTTGCAGTGATTATCCAGTTATGTACAAATCCATCAGCTGCTATAGAATAAAAATTTATTTCTCCATCCGGTAAATCCTTACCCCACTTCACCTGGAAACAAATGCAGCATTTCAAAATTGAATCTCAAATAGTTTATAAAACTAGAAGTGTTGTATAAGCATACACTTTCTTGTATTATATTAAGGATACATAATCAGTTAATGTTAATTTAACACGGAAAAGCGTTTCCAAACCACAAAATACTAGGCCAGCCTAAAATTAGAACTACAGGGCATAAACTCCATGGTCAATTGTCTTATTAGTTATGTTACCGAAGCAAGTAAAAGATACAAACTCCCTCAAACCATGAAAACTGTTGAACTGTTACAATTTTGGGAATTTCTGAGGTTTTAATTTTTTTTAAATTGAACTTATTGAAGTTTATGAAGCGAATTTTGTTTTTTATAACAAACTGGACCTATTTTTATAAAAAATATAACGTACTTGTGTAACTATTTCTCTCCAAATTAAGCACAAACTTTTTCAAATTTCAAGAAATTGAACATGTTATTATTGTTGCAGTATTGTACATCTATTTACGGTGCAAAGGACTCCGATCCGACGCCGCCAAGCGCAGCGCTAGCTCGGGTTTACCAATAGCAACTTGGCTGTCAGCGTGACGTCGCGTCCTAAGCGCAGTTGCCAACTTACGGCCGTCATACTGTAGCCTTCCTCACGGCGAAATGACCGAGTGTCGTCAAAGTTGGGGCTGGAAATGAGTAGGCGGCCTATGCCAGTGTGGCAGTCTTCCACCAGGGTGAAATTGTTTAGATATCTTCGCGCACGTATGCGAAGACGGCCCTTGGCATCTGCAACGTGCGGGGATTCGGCATGAAATAAGTTTGATTTTTTTGTGTTTCCCGGCCTGACAAAAGGCTATTGTCATTACCCTGCAAGTGAAGCGCATGCTTTTATCGCTGGAGGTGGCAGTGTTCCTCTCCCTCACTGAATGATGAGAACCAACGCCGAACTACATGACGGCATGCGGGATTTTCCCCATCCAGGTATCTCTCCACAATGGGGCATCACCCCAGGTTGAACAAGCTCTACGCTCCCGACTGATATCCTCTCATCGTCTAGCGTCAGAGAACTCACGAGGAGTGTGTGCTTCGTTGAGTGCCTCGCGGCCTTCACTTGTCAGTGGGCTTGCGCCTTACTGTCCCGGTTCAGCCGGGAGCAGAGAGTATATTTGGCCAGGAGCCCCCGACGTCTCGGGCGTTCAAGACCTGGGTGGTAGCGTAGTGCAAGTGCGTGTAAGTGGTGAGGAAAGGACAAGGAAGAGGAGAGGGAGATGTCCCACGTTGTCCATATCCCCTTTGTTAGGCTTCTCCGGCTTTCGCCTGGTGATGATCGGAGAAGCGAAAAACTACCGATCACAGGAACGGGTCGCTAGGATTCTCCAGACAGCGGCTGAATATATCTAGTGTTGTTGCCACCGTCGGGAATCGAGCCATACGACCTCCCGGTCAGAGACACTGCAGTGATATCAGTGGATGAACTGAGTCACCTCAGCCGATATGAACTACGAAAGTGCGCATAAGATTATCACGTAGTTAAAACTATTAAAATTAATTAACACCAATAACAATATCCTCTTGCACATACAACCGCGCCAAAATATTGCCTTACCGTAATCCTACTTCCTTTAATCCCAATTTTCTGTTTTTTCTTCTTTTAAACAGTACAGCACACACGTAATTCGTGCCAAATAACTTACGTATCCAGGACCAAGAAAAAAAACTCTCATATGTCTCAATAGGTCATATTATCAACTGTGATACGTCTGCGCTGAGGGCTTCTACAAAATATGTGATTGAGAATTTATAGTTGTTAATTATAGTTGAACTGTCCTCATCACTGATGATGTTATATCTTTTTTTTTTACTCGTTACATGCTTTTAATATCACAAAAACCAAGCCAATTGGACATTCCTTCCATAATCTATTATAATTTGGGAGATCTAAGCAAAGCATTTTTACACTGCCTCTGTAATGCCTAATAATAAAAATTTACAATGAAGTTATACCTGCCAAACAATGCTTTCATGTTTATGTCTCACAGAATTACTTCTATACTGAGGTTGGTTGCTGTGGAGGCGCACGTTGTACACTGCCACATTTCCATCCCATCTTCCCACCACAAACAGATGAGGGTGTGCGGGATGGATGTCTACACACATTACAGGAGCATCCGTGGTGAACACGTATTCTGGATGAGATGGATTCTTTAATGTATAAAGACACACCGCACCTTGGGGAGGTGATTTCATAAAATCAACTGGAAAATATTACGAAATAACAGTTTGAGAAATACATAAATGAATATGTACAAACACACACACAAATGTCCCGATGTTAGTAAAAGCTTGTACTTTGTGAAAGAACACATTAAATAAACTCTGAAACATTAGTACCATTATGTGTACATTCCCCACAGTTGTCATACAATCGCACCTTGAAAAATGCCCACAACTTCTTGATCTCTGTATTGGACCTAACTTTGTTTACAGTTTCTTTCAGCTTAGCACTTTGCAGCTGAATGACAAGAGAAATCTTTGCTAAATGTATTTATACAAAGTGGTGCTCACCCCTACAAAAGACCATTTCTTCATGAAAGAAACCGTAGTCACCGAAAGATTTCACTAATCTACAAATTAAACAAAATTCATTCAATAATCTAGAACTAATTGGAACAGACATACAATCAAATGCTCATGATAAAAAAACAGCACAATGATATCTAGATTATAATTATCATAACAAGAAAAAAATATTTTCTACACGCAGAAGAATACTTCTAAAATGGTCACATGTTATTCCCAGCCTCTCAACAATGACTAAAGCCATCCAAGATTTCTGGTAAATCTAATTACATTGGTCGACAAGGTTTTTTTCCCAAGAATCAGATTAGTGACTCTAATGTGTTTTTGCATACTAAATTCAGATACGTATTCAGAATTTTTCCATCATGCACGGTTATTTCTGTGACACCTATTTTTAAAAATTTGATTTTAACATTCATTTTTGACCTGTCATAGGAATATTTTCCTTATATGTAGCTATTTCATTTAAGATGTATTTAAGGGAATTATGTGTAATACCATGCGGAAACACCAACAGGCAATACTGTGCAGGTTCATTCAGGTTTTGACATACTTAGACCAGTTAATCCGAGATTGTGGTGTGTCAGTATTGAGGTGTCTATGACCTTAGCATGAATACAATTAGATATACATTTTATTACTTTGTATTATGCAGTGTACTGTGTAAGCTGTTCTCTGTATTTTCATCATGCCAAGAACATGTGTAAACCATGCAGATAATTTCTGCTGAACACGTGGTGAGCCGACAGACTCAGAGGCAAAATTAAAGCCACTTGTGAAAAAGTGTTATCAACATTACTTTGGCCGTCTACTGGATGTTTTTGAAAAGACATACACCCCCAAATATTTGCTGTGTGTGTTAGATAGAAAATGGTACAAATCATATGCTGATTGCAATTCCTATGATTAGGAGGGAAATGAAGGATCTAAGAGATTGTAGTTTCTGTTCGACACATATTAAAGGAATTTCTAATCCCTGACCAGAAAAAAAATGTGCCACATATCCATTTAGTGAATCTTCAAATATGTATTTACCTCCCCAATTGCATATTAAATTAGGGGGTATAAAAAATTTTGTAAAAGCTATGGACAAACTTTCATTGGATTCTTGTACTTGAAATCGAAATTTTTCAAAGTGATGCTAACTTGAAAGAGAGGGTTTATTAGGACCACACATGCAGTCATTAATGGCTGATAAACATTTTGAAGAACTTAAATTCACTGGTAAAAGCAGTCTAGAAGTCTTTCAAAAGTTTATATTGCAGTTTTGTTGGGAACCATAAAGCAGAAAACTATTGGACATAGTAACTGATCTTCTACATTCTTATAAAGCAATGGGGTGTAACAAGACTTCAAAAATTCACTTCTTAGACACTCCTAGACTTTCACCTGGAAAATCTTGGGGCTGTCGGCGATGAGTATGGTGCGCATTTCCATCAGTTAATTTGTACAATGGAAATCATGTACTAAGGCATGTAAAGTTCTAATTTGTTAGCTGACTACTGTTGGATCAAGAAGAGAGGTGTTCCTGATACAATAAGAGCCCAAAAATCATCATTACCACATTTTAGGAACAGAAGGAGTACTCAGAATGTAAGTCAGGATGAGTAGTATACCATTTAGAGTTGGATAGCTAGTTACTAATCTTATTAAAAATTATAAAAACTGCAAATAAATAACACGTAAAACTCCTGCCTGATGGAAAAAAACTGAAATGATATTTGAATTCAGTATGAAAAATACTTCTAGAATCTGTTATTTTCATTCTCATGAAAGAAAAAACGTTTATTTTAGTAATTAGTGTAATCAGCAAGTTAATACTTGTTCTGGAAAAAATATGTATTAATAAACTAATGGTGCAACAACATCACACAATTTTTGTTTTTCTGTCTTCAAGTTCTGTAAAACTATTGTGGAATTAGATATTGCAACTTATGTGCTTTAAGCAGTTCGGAGATTTGTCCTTCTAGGAATCAGAAATATTAATTTCAAATACTTTGGGCAAATCTCTAAACTGATTGAAACAAAACACTATGTCTGTTTGTATTTGAAACGTGGTATATGAACAAATCATGAAGTTTCTTTAGCTTTAAAAACTTTCATCTTTGTACTCATTAAAAAACAATTTTCTCAGAATTCAGTAACTTCTTCACAAAAAGTATAATAGAACATAGTGATCTTTTCCATTTACATGATGGTCAAGTGATCCCTCCTGTAAAATATATATAAGATATTGAATATGGAACAAAAATATTTTTTTTAAAAGTTGTCTGTAATTTTTGGTCCCCATAAGAGTTAATTAAATTGAAGAATAAAATATGATAAAAGAAAAAGAGCCCTCTTTAAGAATTTCAGAAAATGTGCCTTTTGATAAAGAGGGAACAGAACACCATATGCAGCCAATGTTAATTTTAATATATACTTAAGGAACATTTTCTCAAAAAGTACTGTACTTAGAGAATATGAAATGTTTGCAGGTTTTAGATAAAAACTTCCTTGATAACCTGATGCTACATTTAAGTAGCAATGAATTAAATTTCAAAAGATACAATTTTTTATTACAAATTAATTTTTTGAAAGCATTTTTCAGATCTTAGTTCCTTCCAAAACCTTTTAAATTGTATATAATTTACATTTAATAGCATCAGCATGTGGATAGTCCTTATATCAATATATCCTGAAAGTTTCATTTAAGTACCATGGCTCAACAATGTGAAAATGTTTCTTATGTCGACAAAAAGTAAACTTACAGGAATTCAGCTTCAAAGTTGACTCATCAAAATAAGCTAGATTCATCAGCAACATCTCAATTTTCTTTTGATGCCTCTTTTGTGTTCTTTTGCTGCAGTGGTGAGCCTTGAGAGTTTATTATCTGCATTTTATTATTTTTGACGATCTGCGATTCTTTTCAATGCCTCAATAGTGTTGTTACCAGAATCAATACCTAACAAGGGTAGCACCCGACACTTCACAATGTTGCCTTTATTTAAAGTTCCTATTGCACTCATACACTCCAAAATAAAGAGTATTATTGTCAATTAATGTAGTATTGGGGAATCTATTTCAACTTTATAAATCACATTGTAGACACACTCATTTGAATTTTGTGTCCAACTATGCAAACATTTTTTCAAGAGAGTGGGTTCTGACACATCCCCCAAAATAGGTTTTATTTCCTCGATTACAGGGTCCAACAAGATATTCTAGTGATGATATGTTTCCCCAATGTTGTATTGTTTGAGTGATGATATGTTTCCCCAACTGTCAAACAATCCATGCCCGAGGTAGTGATTTGTTACCAATATTTAAAATAAAATAGTCCCATAGGCCACAATTTTTAAGTCTATCAATTGCTGCATTTGTCAATCTATTCTTTCCAGTTATTGAGTTGCCATCGCTACTAGAGATCTCTTTCAATGTGCCATTCAACTTTCTTAATTGGGCTCCCATTTGCTTCTGGATGTGACCTACTGTATATTTACAAAGTTTAACAACTAATTCTGCAACAAATCCTACAGATTGGAATACATTTCATTCTAAGCCACTTGATGCTCTTTATTGCCACTTGAGATACATTATCTTTTGTAATTGCGGATTATATCGACAGATCTATATCATATTTTTCACTACCCTTGCCCATTTCATTATAATTATTGTTTAGATTCACCAATTTCGTCCGAGAAGAATTTGGCATTGCACAATCCAGGTTAGATGGACGCCGTGTTAAATTGTTACCACACTTCTTGCAATATCCTCCCTCTTTTGTGACAGTCAAAGTATATAATGCGAAAGTCCACGCTTTTTCAACACTACTGCTGGATCGAGGCAAGCTCGCTGATCCAAGGCGTGTTACTGACAAAAGACAATAACACCATACAGTAAACGCACGTGCATCTCCGCATGCTCGGCATCAGGGCTTCAACGCTTTCAACTCTCATATATATCTAGCGCCATCATATCATATCTATATCTATATCTATATCTATATCTATATCTATATCTATATCTATATCTATATCTATATCTATATATATATATATATATATATATATATATATATATATATATATAGCGCGCTCTCCTGCAGCACCTTTTCACAAGAACTAAAATACGAACTACTGCCAATACTTGCAACGTGCTTGGATGCTGCGTGGGTTCGCGTGACGCAAGCAGGCCTATAATGTTACAAAATATAGCGTTGATATTCGCTCTTTCTTCAAAGATTTCTTATATGTATATAATACGAATAAATTAACTTTTATAAGTCACTTTTCGTATTTCTTACAAATGAAATTATATGTGGGTAAGTTGGCAAATCTATCCTGAAGCTGCACCAGACACTAGCGCCCCCTTTCGTAAAACACTCCTACACTCCACACCGGTTTTGATGAAGACTTGCAAGACCCTGCTCGGCATCATAGAGGAAAGATACATCTCTAACTATGCTCGGTACATCAAACGATAACCGAGAAAATAAACAACTGAGTTACGAAAACGATTTAGGTACGCCAAGATAGAACATGTTCGCCAACTGATGAACACAAAGAGTCCCTGGTGGAAAATTTGAACCGAATTTCGGACGAAAGTCAAACATACAGTAATCCAGACGCCGTACTATCTATTTAAAAGAATGAGAAATCTCGTCGTCGGCATTCCAAAAAAAGAATTTAAACAAGACTTCTGGTCAAGGTATTGAAATAATTAAACAAAATTACGCAGAAAATTTAATTTAAAAAATAAAATAAAAACCACAACAGATTGCTCAACATATACCCCGTTGTGTACGTTCTCAAATGTTTGGTCTCATAATGGTCAAATTGAAATAATGCTTCAAGAAAATAATGAAACACTAAAATTCCTTTCCGAGCGTGTCAGAAAATGTCCCTGTTGATAACACGCACGAAAAATTTTGAGATTTCGAAAAAATTCACAAAAGATTCGAAACATTTGTGTCCGTAAATAGGCTGGGCACTTTGAATCGCAGTTACCCTACTTGATCCAAGGGAGGCCCAGAGAAAGCAAGCGCCCTGAGGTATTATGCGCGCACTTTTTCTTGAGACCCGGAATATCTACCCCCACTCTTTTGCGAACATTGGTTGAATTCAAAATAAATTATGACAAAGAGTGTTGAAGACAAAATCTAATAACAAGAAATGTTCGCTCCAGTGTAATACAAAATACTTTGCATCGAAAAACGAACTACAAATTTGATACAAAATGTATTTCATCAAAATAACCAAACTCACTACTTCTCTCGCAACTAGCAAAGCGAGAGCTCAAGAAAATGTGCGCGGATAATAGTAGATCCATCAGGACCCGTTATTTTCAACAAACCCCCTTTATTTATGATTATCATTAAATATAAGTGAATCATATTTCAACTACAGATCATTTTTTATTCCACAAAAATGTACTGTAGGAAATACGTTTAGCATAAATTTTCGGTGCCACACTTAAGTGGGGGCCTAGCGCAAGCAGTTAGGACTCTTCAGCGCACACGCAACCCCCTCCTTCTAATTCGCACACGCAGTTGCGACGCATTCTTTTGTGTAGGAGAACCTCCGGCCACCTTCACCTGCTTCGTGATGGGCTACTGTTCAGTCTGTTTATCTTTCGAAAGCGCCCTTTCAGAAAGCGCCATAGCCAGCCCCTTCGATCCTCTGCGGCGCCACCCAGAGGCAATTAATCGGCATTATGATCGCCCGGGCCTACTTCTGCGACGCTCGTAACAGTGAGAGACAGTGAGAGAAAGAGAAATGATAGGTAGAAAAAACTGGATATTTTCCACTTGAATTTTCTCTTTAGAACGCCTTCAGATATTGGGCAAGAAATTTTTACTGCCAACTTTAATTTAACCTATCACCGACTAGATTCGGAAATTTCGGAGAACTTTCTGGAACGTCTGGGATTCTGGGAAGGGGAAATAGGGTCTTTCGCGGACGCTTGAGGGCTGGATACAGAGACAGACAGACAGACACAGGAGAGACACGAGGAGAATACTTGCGGAGGTCGGAGGCCTCAGACGAGTTTCTTCTGGGCCCTTCCTGCGCTCGCCCTTCTGCGCGCAGCCACTTGGGTGCAGTGGGGTGACGTGACACTAGATAGGGCACATCCGGTCCGTATTCAAATTCCATACAGTAGCCAATCAGAGTTCAGAGCGACGCCATATACATCTGTACAACACAACTCGCTCAAGCGGAGAATCGGTGAAACTACTTTTTTATTTTGAAATTTTCTTCGCAAACGAGCTGGTTGTTACCGTTGGATTCCTTCTCGTCGATCTATGGTTTTGTATATTCACGTGCTGTATCGTAGGGCTGTTAACGCCATATCGCGTCAGTGATTCAGAGAACTGAAGTGAATTTACTGGCTGTTTTGAAAGTCTGAAAGCGTGCATTTTGGCTTCGAGAAGATGATAAGGTTCGTAACAAATAGTGGACATTTTTTTTATGTTGCATGTTCAGTTACAGATCCCTTGTTTGGACCAAGCGAGGTGACACCCATGACACTATGGGTATAATTGGTAAATGATTTTTTAAATAGAAGTATACTAGAATTAGTTTTAATAGAATATATTATTATAGTTTTAATAGAATATATAGTTTTGATGGGAGGCTATGATACCAGCATTTTTTAATTTTCAAGATCCTTGTACACAGGCAGCTTTTCAACTGAAAAATTGTAAGTCTCCTTGTATGTTTGTTAAAATGGCAAAAAGACCATGCTATTGAAAGCATAAATGTATTGGCAATAATTTGTTGTTGATCTAATACAGGTTCTAGTGCTGGTTGAACATGCTGCTACAGCAAGTGCAGCAGATCTTTATTCTAGCCTTGTGAAAGGTAAATATTTGCCTATATATCTTTTAAGAATCTCATTATTCTTTTGTTGCATTTATTGACGATGGGATAGATTTCAAGGTTTTGTCTCCATTTTCAGATCTATCTATCGCCCATGTGAGGTGTCACCTCAAAGTTTTTATGGACGTTTTTCTCATGGTATGTTCCTTTCCAATATACAAGTTTATTAGTGCCAATTGAGGGCAAATTAAATAGTAAATAAAAAAACTTTTTTTTGGTGATTACAGATGCCTTGTAACTTCTTGGACAGGTGGAAAGAAAGGGCCATTCTGGGAGATGAATTCTGCCCGGCGCTTCGGTGTGTGGTAAGTGCAACAATATTCCGTGCTTTCTAATTTCGTATTCTAGATGGTGAAATTAAAAGAAACATCTTCTTTTTGATACAGATTTGTTTTCAGAACATTCAGTTGAGGACATAGCATCTTTCCTCTTAACAGTCACATCTTCTTTTGGCTTTTCAGATCCCTTTTCAGAGAATGGCTTCTGAAGCATGCTATATTAGACCGTACGAGTTTGACCCTAAGTGGCTTTTAAATTAATGTTGCACATTTGAGGAGTGGCAGAACTCAGAGAGATAATTATCAAAGAATTATGATTACTAAGCAGTGACTAACTTGTTTCATTGTGGCACAAAGTTGTCTGACATATTTCTTTTAGCGGCATGACAGTTTATAAGGGTAATGATACAACGAAGCGTTTTCATCAGTGGTGTATTCTGTCATTGGATACAGGTTCATTAAAAAAACTGTATTTCCCACAATCTAATTTGGAAAGTTCTATTAAATAAAATTTAAAAGATAAAATATAATTCTGTAAAGGCATGATCATTTTCTCAATTTTGGAATGCCTCTTGCTATGTTAAGACACTTGATTTGAATATCATGATACAAAGGTTTTGAGTTTTCTGTAGAGAGAAGCAGGCTATTTTCAATGGCAATTTAGAATTTCTTTTAATGTCTATTATCTAGTCTGCAGTTTTGTTTCTTTCTTATAGAAGTATTAATTTTTATTATTAGTATTGATATAGTTGCTTATGGTATTGTTATACTGTTCTGCTGACAATAATAGTTTTCTCATGACAAACACAATCTTTGTATTCAATTATATATCTAGTATGTTGTAATATTGTGTTTTGTCATCGTCATGCATTCCAATTACATTCTGGATTTGAATGCTGATCCTTATTAGATTGGTGAGTCGTGAATGCAATGCCTGTGATCTAGTAAGCTGACCAGTTATTAGACCATTGCCACAGTTATCAGAAGGGTCCCAGGCTTGGCTCCTGTGCAATCAAATATTTTGCACTTTGACAATACAACTTTCAGAATTATTATTAATTGTAGTGCATAGCATTGATGGAATCCACTATTTGTTAATCATTGTTTAAAAAGGTAGAATGTACTCTCACGGTGGATCCCATTTTAAAAAGCAGGCTCTGAACTGTGCCATGTGTGGATTAGCATGGGTAAATAAAATATGTCAATATATTTATTGACTAATGAAAAACATATTTAGGTTGCAACTAGTAAAGCAGGTTCTTTCAGGCATGCAGAACATGCTAAAAGCTTCAATTTTTTGGCAGCTACTTGCTTAAAGTGGGACAATGCTCAATGTGCTGATAAAACTTTGAAAGCAACAAAGAAAAACAAAATACGTTCATGTGACCTAATCAGATAAAAAAATGGCGCTTTTAAACCCCTTGTATCATAACTATTTCTTTTACCTGGGGCAAAATGTGCGGCAGTAATTTTCATTTGTTTCTTTTCAATTCTGTATTGTTTATTCATAATGCTTGTAATACATGTAGTTATTCCATAGTATATATAATTTGGGCAGAATATCTACAAAGCATAATGTACCTGCGAAATAAGCTTGCAAAATTATGCGGCGCAGGTTGTACTGTTTATTTTTCTGTAATTCAAAATTGGTGTTATTAAACTAATGCAAATTATGAAATTGTATACTTATCAATATCTCAATAAATTCTAGATTTTTACACCACTAATTTGACTTTTTTCTTCCATTATGATCACCTTATAATTATTATGTGACTTTTTTAATAAATTAAGCGTGGAAAGTATGGAGTGAAATTTTAAAGTTCCCGCGTCGCTGGTTTATTTCAAATTTACCGGTTACTTCTTCGCTATTGGCTGTCCGTTCACCAATAGAAATTAATACAGAACAATGTGGCGGCACCGGAAGTTGGGCAAATAAGGCTTTTCCTTTTAACATTGAATGCCGTCTCTGATATATACTCTTTGCTTGGGTGAAGTTTTGCAACTTCGAGCCGCAGTGATATCGGTTCACATGATTTTATGTGCCGTGCTTGGCCTCAATTTAATGGACCTAGGTATTTATTCACTAAATTGATCACGTTTGTGAGCCTGTTAGTTTTATGAAATTCAATCACCGCGTGCAACGAAATCTGCTGCTATATTAGACATAATCTCGCGGAAGTGACTTCGGGAACAGTACAACCGTTGCCTTACTCATTAATACGCAGAGAAGCATTGTTTGGTGGCCTTAATCGACAGCTGACAAGCTTTGTTCCCCGGCCGCCCAAGTCTCCAGGGACGGCCCTTTGAGGGAAACCATGCAGCCGAGCGCGAGCAATGACTTCCGCTGCTATTACGGTGACGTGTGTGAAGAGCTTCGCTGTACGCCCTCACAGCCCTCAGGCACCAAATAAAACGAACTTTTGTATTAAGATATCATTTCTCAATTTGTGTTTATAAAAAGAAAGGATTCTAAGCCGCGCTTTGGCTCTTAAAACAATCAGCGTAAAGAATTTTGTAATTTTAATTTAAGAATTTACTTATTTTGGTTTAATTGTTCAGAACATTTTAAGAGCTTCGAGATAGGTTATTATTATTATTATTATTATTATTATTATTATTGTTATTATATTATACATCTTATCTATTACTATCCCTATCATTAACGTCTGCCTGTCATCCCCTTGTTTCAGGCCACACCTTTCTACTTTCTGAGCAAGTCGAAAGGTAAGGCGACCCACCTTGACCGTAGTCAACCAAAGATGACTACGTGGCAATCACGACGTAGCCCGTACTGTCTATATTCTGCTCGTTATTCACATTGCAAAGACATTCTTTCCCACTTTAGAAAGCCCCAGTTCTGCACAGCAGCGTAGGCCCTGACAGCTAATTGCATTAAATTATGATAATGAGTTGTTAAATATTATAAACCCGCGAGAGTGTTTGAAAAAAGGTTACCAGATGATTTGTTTTAAAAACTCTTGTTTGATCAAATTGCATCACTGTTAAAGTCGAAGGTTGCCTTTTATGTTTCGAGATTTGGCAACTCTGGTGTTGCAATCTGGAAACTGACAGCTCTATTGTAAAGTTGGATTGTTTGAGGTTATACGTCATCTGAACTTTTTTTGACATACGGGCGCTATTTGTGTTGTTTACAGTAACTTAAAAGATTCATCTTGGCTCAAAAAATGGAATTAAATCGTGAACATTTTCTTGCGATTATTTTTTACAACTTTCGACGTGGATATCTCAGCAACAGTGCATGGATGAACTTAATTCATTTTTGGCGATGAAGCTCCATCAAGGACGCAGTGGTTATCGATGGTTGAATGAATTCAATTTGGTCGTAGTTCACTCCAAGACGAATTTCGCGAAAGTCGTCCAAAATCAGTTGTTCCGAAAACCATTGATGCTGTGCGTGAACTGATATTGCAAGATAATCTTGTGACCTATCGTGAGATTGAGACAAACCTTAGGAATTAGTGGGTTCAGCATATATTCAATATTGCATGAACATTTGACTGTCAAAAAAATTTGTTCGCCGTTGGATCACACAATTGTCAATCGCTCAAAAAAAGGCTTTGTCGATTTGGTCAAAAGAAATGCTCAAAAAATACGATCGCGGTGCTTTGAAAACACGTCTATGACATCGTGCCAGGTGATGAATCGCGATTTACGCGTATTGAGCCCGAAAGTAAACAGCAGTCGACTATATGGGTGTTTAAGATGAGCAAAATCCAACAAAGTTGTTCGCCACGAAGCACTTCCAAACAGATGGTTCGCCTTTTTTTTTTTTTTTTTTTTTCAAAAAAACTTGACATATCGCAACCGTACCACTAGAAAACAACGCCAGAACAGTCAATTCTGGTGGTACACAACGATTTGTTTGCAGCTCTCTTCAAGAAATCAGGAAAACGCACCGCCGAAGACGGATCACTCTTCACCACGACAATGCGAGCTCTCACACATCGGCTCAAAAAACTGCATTTTTGAGCACCCAAAATATTGATTTGATGCGTCATCCGCCGAATAGTCTTGACTTGTCACCGAATGTCTACTTTTTTTTCCCGTACGTAAAAAACAAACTGAGAGGTCAACGTTTTTCGACACCTGAAGATGCGGTTGCTGCATTCAGAATGCATATTTTGGAGATACTTCAATCAGAGTGGCAAAAGTGCTTCGACAATTGGTTCAAACGCATGCAAAAGTGTATAGATCTTCATGGGGAATATTTGGAAAAACAATAAAGTGATTTTCGATGATTAATATTTGTTTTTGTTCTCCAATCCTGAAATATAAAAGGCAACCCACGTAATGCAGTTCATGTTGAGCTTTTCTTACTTACATGTTCCATACGCTACTGCAAACATATCGTAGAAGCATGGATTCCAGCATATGCTTGTAATGGTACTTTTCTTCGTTTTTTCATAGGAAAATTTCCACAGGGGTAACAATGTTCCTTCTTCATCTCGGTACTCATCGGATGGGTCTTCCCAATACCTGTAATCTGAGATAAAATTATGACGAAATATAAATTTAAAGTAGTGGTGCTAAAATAGCACCTACTTCCTCGCCTTTAGTAATAGATATACTATTTATAATACAATATATCCACAAACCACCACATCGTAGTCATCATTTTTTGAATAAAAAAAAGATACAAATTGTAGAAAATTTGGTGAAAAACGAATATTTTCAAATATCAATACAAAGTTGACAATTATAATTACTTTTCATACAGGTAAATCATAACTCAACAATACGACGCAATTCACAGAAATTATCTCCCGAGTCATTGTTGCATTCCAATCTGATATTCCCTGAAAGCAAGCAATTTTTTTCATTTACTTGCTCCCCCGCGATGCCGGATGCGTGGAGTATTTATCACAATAATTTATTAGACAAGAAGAGGTATTTCATCTATTTCCGCCATGACGTGGAGCCTACTTGTATCCCCGCTCCTTCTTGTCCAACCTCTCTCTGCTTTGCTCCCGCCTGGAAATACCCTGTCTTCCTCACTAACTTTTTCGAAAAAAAAATTTCATATGTTTAAAATAGGG